ATCAGGCCATCGACTTTGTATCCCATCAGTCAACAATATGACTAGTTTCTGAGTATCGTTCGAGACTTCTAATGAAAAATACTCATCGTAGGCCAGACGAAGTGCGAGGTCAATACGGGTAATCCCCCTGACATACGGGATATTGTCCACCGCAGAAGCAAACGATAGCGTTGTGTTCTTCGAGCCTAGCGGAACTTTGTTAGAGGCTCGACTACTAAATGCAATAACAGCAGCTTGGCTGGTTCTCTCTAGTTCGTATCTGCTTGCCACAATCTTAATGAATTCTTTTTCTTTTACATAGTTGTCTTTTCCAACACTTCCTGATGCGTCGAGCAAAAAGATTAGGTCCAGTGGTACTTGGCATTTTTCTGGCGCTGAAAAAAAGAAGTAAAAAAGCTAATCTGTCCAGGGTCACAGGATGAAGAGAAATTCGCCACTAAAATATAACCCAGTTAGGCCTAGATCGACACATGATGATTGTGCACGCTTTTGGGTCGAAAGTACACACAACTGGTTTTACTTTATACCTCTTGTAATACCTACCTATACATATCGTGCCATTGCCAGTGTACCCTGACACACAAGTACAGGTATAGTTTCCATCATAATTGCTGCAATACGCGTCTTTGTGACAAGCATCTGCTAGAGATTGGCATTCGTTGATGTCTATTTAAAACAATATAGACGAAAAAAATGTGAAATGAGTCTCATGTGACTGTTCTCTTCGAAATTTGAATCAACTTAGGATATGAGCAGGTTATGGCTGTACATGAGCTTTGAATGATGACTGAAAACGATGAACCGCTTGCAGATTTCTGTTTCTCGTTCTGGTTATTGGGGGCAGTTTGTTCGACTACAGGCGCATCCGTAAAGCAACGTAGAGATCACCTGACCATGTGCCAGAAAATGAGATCGACTATGTCTGTATACGTCGCAAGTGAAGGCAATCTCTAATAATTTTCACTGAAAGTGGTTTAGCAGTTTGCTCCATCTTCTTGCTCTTTTATTCAATATTTTTTTCTTTTTTTTCCTTGCAATTGCTCTTTTTCAAATGCTTTCACCGTTAAAGGTATAAGTATCGCTATTCAAGCAGTGGAAATGAAAATTGAATTTTACATACCTAAACACATGCTGCCGTTATAACTGTATCCCGACTGGTTGCATGAACAGTTGTACGAGCCTGCGGTGTTGACACAGAAGGTATTGACGAGGCAGTTATGTGAACCATTGGTGCATTCATTCACGTCTTGGAATTAGAAAGAAGTGTTTGAGAAACCAAGCATTTATGCTAGTTCAGTTTATTGGGTGCTTAAATTCATAACCAAAAAGGTAAGCCGTTGTGTATGCCATCAGCTGGCATTGAAAGATCTAGTCCAATTACAGCAATTCAAGAGGTCTGATGACCCATCACTACTGCAATTCTGAAAATTCAGGAATAGTCAGGTACATGAAGCAAAGCATTTGGAAATATTGTTACACAACCCGTAAATAAAATGCTGTCCATTGCTTTATGTCAGGTTTTCACAAAAAAATACATATATTACTATTGCATCGTTCACTGCAGAACAAATCTAAACCATGCTGTTGTAGCCGCAATTTAATTCTTTGTTATTTTTTCCGTTTGTGCATGCATTCTTTCGTGATCATCGCATTCTTTTCGTTTATCTCGCTTTCACGTTATCGATATTCTGTAGGTTTTTTCGCATAATTTTGCTTTGTTTCAGTCCCCTTTTGTATGCTCTTTCTAGTTTATTTGTGCTTTTTCATCGCGACGCTACTATCATCTCGTTTCATTTACCGCCCTGCCGTTTTCCTCTTGTATGTTCCTTAGCTTCCTAGTCATACAACGTTTGTAAGTATCGTCTTCCTTCGGCTCGTTATTTCTGTTTCTTTATTGTATTCGTCTATAACTTGTAATTTATTTTGTTTGTAGCAACCGCTCCCTTTTCATCGCTTTCTTCGCTCCCTATCGTTAAATTGCACATTTCGTCTTATCGATTAAAGCCAAGTAGTGTGTTGAAGTTGACTACAATACATGCTAATATAAGAAACCCAAGAATTTTGTCAGAAATTAGGAGAAACCTAACCAGTGAATAAGGTACTAAAAATTGAAACTGTAACCATATTGCAAAGAAAAAAAGGAACGTTAGAAAAAAAAAAAAAACAAAAGAAAAAAAAAACAATAGCTAAGTTAAAAAAGAGCGTCACAAGGTACATAGAAAACAACTGAGATCTCCATAACGATATAAAACCAACATGGTGTCCAGAATAGTTTCCTTAGAAGTCCTTTTGACAACACGTATATATATTTCAAGCAAGCAAAATTTACCTTCACACAGGGATGGATCACCAACGAAGCCATCACTGCATATACACGAAAAACCACTACTCGAGTTGACGCAATGCGCTGGAAATTCACAATTTGTCATTTGTGGATCACTGCTGCAAAACGTAATCCCTTGGGTGTGGACTAGTGAAAAGTAAGTCATACACAATATTATAATTCTGATTCAGCTTTAAGCTCATGGGAGTAACATAAGTCATCGCTGTTTATATCAAACCTTCGCTAACCACTTGTTATTCAACTCATTTAGACTAGTGTAAAGACCGTCTTTTTTCATTAACATTGCACGAGCAATACTATCTAAATTGTTTTAATCCCCGGGAAGGTCACAATTATACTTTGGTGTATATTTCAGGTTGGTAATTACATCAGAAAGATCCACTGTTTATTGATAATAATCTGTTAAAAACAAGAAACCGGTTTTCCCCTATACCCAAACAATTAGTACGACACCTCCAGGATTGGGTTTCTCTGCCAATTCCTCAAAGAAAAGCATAATAACAGCGAGGGGGGTAACGAAAAGTATGTAACTATAGCACACGAAAGGGAACGTACACCATAATTTTTTGGTATGTTGTCCAATCACTAACGTAGGGATAAACGCAAAAAAGGCAAGAGAAAGACACGCAAAAGATTTCCATTCCTCTTATGCTTCAGCTTATTCTCATTTCCCTACTCCTAGTCTTTCTCCTGCTCCTGTTCCCACTCTTTTTCTTGCAACTGATCCTCCTCGTAGTCTAGCTCAGACTCCTGCGTCTCCCCCTACCACTACTGGACTCCTTATTGTGAACCAGCACGTGTTCCTATTACTCACGGCTGCTGCTGCTGCTACTGCTGCTGCTGCTGCTACTACTACCACTACTACTACTACTACTACTACTACTACTACTACTACTAGCAAACTACTACTACTACTACTACTACTACTACTAGCAAACTACTACTACTAGCAAGCTTGTAAACCTACAAAGCAACTTTACAGGTTAATAACTTATAGAAAATACAAAATTAACAGCTCACGAGCGTCGACGCATGATGTCTTAGATATTGAGTCGGCCTTTGCTACCAAATCGTTGAATTCAGTGGCTTGAAATATATGGTCATCTTCTTCAGTAACAGCCTTCATCGCTGCCATGTCAATATTACTTCCAATAGTAACAGCATAGATGCGAGCTGCTTTGGAACGGAGGAGCTGTACTGTATCATTTATTGGAATATAAGGTGGATTCATATAGCGCCGTCGACTTTGTATCCCATCAGTCAACAATATGACTAGTTTCTGAGTATCGTTCGAGATTTCTGATGAAAAATACTCATCGTAGGCCAGCCAAAGTGCGAGGTCAATACGGGTAGACCCTGCGTCATACGGGATATTGTCCACCGCAGAAGCGAACGATAACGCTGTTTTGGTCGAGCCTAGCGGAACTGCGTTGGAAGCTTGAGAACTAAATGGAATAACAGCAGCTTGGCTGGTTGTCCCTAGTTCGTATCTGCTTGCTACAATCTTGATGAATTCTTTTTCTTTCAGGTAGTTGTCTTTTCCAACACTCCCTGATGCGTCGAGCAAAAAGATTAGGTCTAGTGATGCTTTGCATTTTTCTGGTGCTGGGAAAAAGAAGTAAAAAAGGTTATCTTTCAGGGTCACAGGATGAAGAGGAATTCGCCACTAAAATATAACCCAGTTAGGCCTACATCGCCACATGATGATTGTGCACGCTTTTGGGTCAAAACTACACACAACTGCTTTTACCTCATACCACACGTAATACCTACCTATACATATCGTGCCATTACCAGTGTACCCTGACACGCAAGCACAGGTATAGTTTCCATCATAGTTGCTGCAATACGCGTCTTTGTGACAAGCATCTGCTAGAGATTGGCATTCGTTGATGTCTATTTAAAACAATATAGACGAAAAAATTTTGAAAAGAATCTCATATGGCTGTTCTCTTGGAAATTTGAATCAACTACCCAGTATTCAACATAGGATATGAGCAGGTTATGGCTGTACTGGGCTTTGAATTATGACTTAAAACGGTGAACTGTTTGCAGATTTCTGCTTCTCGTTCTGGTTATTGGGGGCAGTTTGTTCGACTACAGGCGCATCCGTAAAGCAACATGGAGATCACCTGACCATGTGACATAAAATGAGATCGACTATGTGTGTATATGTCGCAAGTTCAGGCGGTCTCTAGTACTCTTCATTGAAAGTGGTTTAGCAGTTTGCCCCTCTTCTTGCTCCTTTATTTAATATTTGTTTGCTTTTTTTTCTTTGCAATTGCTCTCCTTGAAATGATTTCACTATTAAAGGTATGAAAACGCTATTCAAGCATTGGAATACAGAATTAAATTTTACATACCTAAACACATGCTGCCGTCATAACTGTATCCCGACTGGTTGCATGAACAGTTGTACGAGCCTGCGTTGTTGACACAGTAGGCATTGGCCGGGCAGCTATGTGAGCCATTGCTACATTCATTCACGTCTTGGAATTAGAAAGAGGTGTTTGAGAAAAAAAAAAGTATTTATACTAATTCAGTTTATTGGGTGCTTAAATTCATAACCAAAAAGGTAAGCAGTTGTGTATGCCATCAGCTGGAATTCAAAGATCTAGTCCAATTAAAGCAATTGAAGGACCGTGATGACCCGTCACTACTGCAATTCTGAAAATTCATGAATAGTCAGGTGCATGAAGCAAAGCATTTGGAAATTTTGTTACACGCCCTAAATAAAATGCTGTTAATTACTTTATGTCAGGTTTTCACAAAAAAAAGATATATATTACTACTCTATCGTTTACTGCAAAACAAATCTAACTACTAAGACAATGCTAGTGTAAGAAATATAAGAATTTTGCCTGAAGTTAGCGGAAGTCTAACCAATGACTAAGGAACTAAAAATTGAAACTGTAACCATATTGCAAAAAGAGAAAGTCAGAAAAAAAAAAACACTAGCAAAGTTAAACAAGAGAGTCACAAAGTACATAGAAAGCAATTTAAATCTAGATTATGATCTAAAACCAACGTGGTGTCCAGAATAGTTTTTCTAGAAGTCCTTTTGACAACATGTGTATTTCAAGCTAGCAACACTTACCTTCACACAGGGGTGGATCACCAACGAAGCCATCGCTGCATATACACGAAAAACCAGTACTCGAGTTGACGCAATGTGCTGGAAATTCGCAATTTGTCATTTGTGGATCAGAACTGCAAAACGTGATCCCTTGGGTGTGGACTAGAGAAAAGTAAGTAATACATAAGATTCTAATTCTACATCAGCCTCAAGCTCATGGGTATGAAATAATTCATCGCTATTTATGTCAAACCTTTGCTAATTGTTCATTTTTCAACTCATTTAGACTAATTTAAAGACTATCTTTTTTCATTGACATTGGAGGAGCAATACTGTCTAACTTGTTTAAGTCTCCGGGAAGGTCACAATTATACTTTAGTGTATCTTTCAGGTTGTTATTACTTGTGGAAGATCCATTGTTTATTTACAATAATCTGTTAAAAACAAACAAACCGGTTTTCCCCTTTACCCAAACAATTAGTTCGTACCTCCAGGATTGAGTTTCTCTGCCAGTAGCATAAATAAAAGCATAAGAACAGCGAGGAAAGTAACGAAAGTGTTTAAGTATAGCACATGAAAAAGAACGTACACCATAATTTTTGGTATATCGTCCAACCACTAACTTAGGGATAGACGCAAAAAAAGCAAGAGAAAGGCATGCAAAAGATTTTCCATTCCTCTTATGCTTCAGCTTATTCTCCTTTCCCTACTCCTAGTCTTTCTCCTGCTCCTGTTTCCACTCTTTTTCCTGCAACTGATTTTCCTCGTAGTTTAGCCCAGGCTCCTGGTCTTGCTCCTACGTCTGCTCCTACTCCTACTGAACTTCTGCTCGAGTTCCTACTACTACTACTGCTGCTACTACTATCGCCACCACCACCACCACCACCACTACTACTACTACTACTACTACTACTACTACTGCTGCTGCTGCTGCTACTACTACTACTACTACTGCTACTACTACTACTGCTACTGCTACTACTGCTACTGCTACTGCTGCTACTGCTACTACTGCTACTGCTACTGCTGCTGCTGCTACTGCTACTGCTGCTACTGCTACTGCTACTACTGCTACTATTACTACTACTAGCAATCTTGTGAGCCTAAAAAACAACCTTACAGGTTAATAATTTGTGGGCAATACAAAATTAATAGCTCACGAGCGTCGACGCATGATGTCTTGGAAATTGAGTCGGCCTTTGCTACCAAATCGTTGAATTCAGTGGCTTGAAATATATGGTTATCTTCCTCAGTAACAGCCTTCATCGCTGTCATGTTAATATTACTCCCAATAGTAACAGCATAGATGCGAGCTGCTTTGGAACGGAGGAACTGTACTGTATCATTTATTGGAATGTAAGGTGGATTCATATCAGGCCATCGACTTTGTATCCCATCAGTCAACAATATGACTAGTTTCTGAGTATCGTTCGAGACTTCTAATGAAAAATACTCATCGTAGGCCAGACGAAGTGCGAGGTCAATACGGGTAATCCCCCTGACATACGGGATATTGTCCACCGCAGAAGCAAACGATAGCGTTGTGTTCTTCGAGCCTAGCGGAACTTTGTTAGATGCTCGACTGCTAAATACAATAACAGCAGCTTGGCTGGTTCTCCCTAGTTCGTATCTGCTTGCCACAATCTTAATGAATTCTTTTTCTTTTACGTAGTTGTCTTTTCCAACACTCCCTGATGCGTCGAGTAAAAAGATTAGGTCCAGTGGTGCTTGGCATTTTTCTGGCGCTGAGGAAAAGAAGTGGAAAAGAGCATTTGTTCAGGGTCAAAGGACGAAGAGGAATTCGTCCCTAAACAGTAACCCAGTTAGGCTTTGATCCACACACGATGAGTGCGTCCGCCTGTTGGGCAAAACTACACACGACTGTTTTTACTTTATACCTCACATGATACCTACCTATACATACCGTGCCATTACCAGTGTACCCGGACACACAAGTACAGGTATAGTCTCCATCATAGTTGGTACAATACGCGTCTTTGTGACAAGCTTGGCATTCGTTGATGTCTATTTAAATGTAATTTAGAAGAAAGAAAATTTCACAGGAGTCATTGAAATTTCAATCAAGTACTTAGTATTCTGTGGTCCGTATATGCACTGCAATTGGACCACTTAGCTCATTGGATACATTTAAAATATTAAATATCCACGAGAAGGAGTTTAAAACGGCAAAAATATAGCAGATAGCAGCCAATAAAAAATGTGAACAGCCTCATATTTTGCGCCAAGAATGGTTTCCTACTTCTGATAACTCGTTTACCGTGTATCGTTGAGTAGGATACCAGGCATGTAGTTGTGCAAATTTTGGCAAATAGCTTGTTCACTCGTTAAGTTAAACCAAGAATTAAAATTTCCTCCATTTTTGGTATCTTCAAAGAAAAATCCTTTTCGTCGAGTTATTTTGGTAGCGGTGAAACGATGATAACACATCCCCGCGCGCCATGAAAGTTTATTTTTAATCTATTTTAAGCTTCACGTCGCGCTGTGAAAGTTAACCTCGGCCCCATGATCGCGCAGCCCATGTCCAACGATCATCGCGTCGCGTCCATCTAAATCTGACATTCTAAACCTGACGAAATAAAAAATAATTTGTTTTGAGCTACGGCACTGTTTACATCGCGGAATGTATCTTTGGAAACCATTCTAGAAGCGCTGGGAAGGGAAATTATCTTCTTCGCGTCATTCCCTTGCATAATTGATTAACGCGACTTAATTTAACTTGTTGAGGAAAGTTAGGCGCCAAGGCTCGTATTCTAACCCACTCGAAAGTCGTTTTTCGAAAAGAACTGAACGGATTAAAGCGAAAAACATCTCTTTCGAAAGGTTTTTCAAAGCGCAGGACAGCTAAAATATTTGTTTCCCGCTTGTAAGAATTTATCCGAAACTACCACTGTTTGGATCGAAAAAGGTCTATTTGAGTAGCATGTTCAAAGCGCTGGTTAGCAAAGTTATCTTCTCTGTGCTGATATCCGAAGTTTACTTCGAAAATAAATCTTGATATTTCTCTGCATGACTGATTCACCTGAGGCGCCATGGCTCACTGCTGACAAGAATTGGTTTCTAACACGCTCAAGAGTCGATTCTCGAAAAGTACTGAACGGTTTGAAGCGGAAAAGATATCTTTCTCCTTCTCTTACGAATTGCGCTCCGAAAGTCCAGGTGCAAGTTTTTCATGTCATTTGCATATTTACTTAACAAAACCAAGCCGTAAAGTTTATGATGACATTTAAACTGACCAATCAAGTATCTTTTCTCAAATAGACACGGCCTAAAACTGACCACGCGCTAAAATTACTTTGGAAAAATTATCATTGGAAGATCCCTAATGTGAAAAACAACCCGCACGACTGGCATGCTAGTGTTTGCATAGCAGCCTGATCCTCAGGTTGACGCTCAACTTTATCCATTTATTCGGCATTTTTCTTCCTTGTTTTACTCTTGTAATTTAGATTTTTAGCTATGTAAACTTAATTGAAATGAAATGGATATCAAATTTTTCAAAATGAATTCCAGCACAAACAAATTATCTACAAACAAATTCTCCCAGCGATTTATATTGAGATAACGTACGCATATCAGAAGAAAGTATCTGTGTGTTTCTGGTTTCAAATCCCAGACATAGACCGAAGATTAAAAATATCGACATGCTACAATTACTGGCTGGAAAGTAATGATGCCTTCTCTCTTCCCACAGGCTAAACACGCTGTGCATGCTTCCCTAGATTTAATGGTCAGCGGACAGAACATTGATGGTTGGCATGGTGGGACCAAACATATCTACGCTACGTTTGGCGCGGAAAAGCTGACAGAGTTGTAAATACTTAAAGGAATTATTCATGCAGGACTAAGTTTGTGTTCACAAGGTAGACTGAACTTGGTGTTTGTGTTAATGGTTTTCTCCTTCTATTGTTCGGAAACGAAAGACGGTAGCAATTCTCATTCATATTTAAAAAGAATTTCATTGCCACCAACGCAGCGGAAGTCGCAATTAAGTGTCAGCGTTGAATGGTCTTCGGAAGACTCGTCCGGCACGTCATTTAAAGTATAGTAAGACTGCTTACTCGTTCTGAGGTTTTGCATAGAGAAGTGGCTTTAGAGGAAAACAAACCTTGTCGATAGAGAATTCTTTTTTTTGCGAATTATATATTGATGTGATGAGTAACAATAAAACATGATGAATGTCTTCATTAGCTGGTGACAATTCATTAAATATCAAGAGATGCACCGTCATGAAACCAATTTGGTGAAATGTGTCATTTTAATATGAAGTGCTAAAGGCAGGAAGTTTAAAAATTTCTGTTTGTCAGTTTATCTCATCGGGCGTCAAGACAACTGTGCATACATGGCTTATTTTGTAGCGTTATCCCTTGGGTCCGGACCCTAAAATTTGGTCAGAGTCAGTTCTTTGTCTTCTCTTAACTTACTATCAACCCTTTAATCACTATCAAGTTCGCGTTTAACGTTCCTCTCATATTTCCGTAGAAATTACAATTTTAATTTTGTGCGTATTAACATTTGACAGAAAAAAGTATTCGTAAGATAGGGGGAAAAAGTATTGTAAAAATAAAAAAGCCAGTCTCCGTGAAGGCTTTCACACAAAAAGTGGCGCGTATTTCGCTTCTCTTTATCGATACTGAGCTTGAAACTATTGCTGAAACGTAGGCCAATCAGGTTTTGATTTCTTTGCTGAGCAGCAACCAAGGCTCGACGAAACTTAAGATTAGAATTTCATAATCCCACTACGTTGAAATACGATAAAAGTTCCTGGTACTACGCAAGCTATTTGCAGGATTAATTATAGCCCTTTTAAGCGAACGCCGGACACTAGGAAATCGTTGCAGTTATGGCTTCGTTCTTACGTTATCCCTTGGTCAGACTTTCAAATTTGGTCAGACTCGGTTCGAAGTCTTCTCTCAACTTACAATATCAACTCTGAAATCAGTATCACATTCACATTTAACGTTCCTCAGTCGCCTCCTGAAAGTTTCGCCTCCCACGATCGATATGTGTTCTGATGTTTTCCCCGAATTAATTCCATAAACGCTAGAGCGGATACCCTCATTGGACTAGCATAGCAGGCCCTCGTTCTTTTTCGAAGTAAGCTACTGCGAGTCTTTCGAATTTTTTCCATGCAAAGAAGTGGCATTAGCAAGACGTTGTATTTTAATTGATGCTTTGTAATAATTCCATAGCTTTCGAGCCTGGCGAGAAAGACATCCTATCGAATAATACAATTTCCGCTTAAAAAATTATCATTTCCAGAAGCTTGCAATAGAAGTTTCTATTATTATGTGAAAATCTCTTTTAATGTTTTCTCAAAGCGATTTTACCGTATTTTATTTCCTATCAAGATTCAAAAATGTAAATTTCAGCCTTGGGTATATCCTTACCTTGCTGAATTTAGTTTTCAATTGAAAACGGAACTTCTGTTATACAGATAACTTCAAACTCGATTGATAAAGTCGATAGTCGAAGTTACTTCAGTCAAAGCATCAATTTTTCCACTGTCCCTTCTTTGAATGGCCGGGGGATGCATTTTAGTAGCGACTGGCACTTTTACGCGAGAAGAATTATGACAAAATGAAGACCTAGATTTAGCTCGCGTTAACTCTACTAGGAGAGTTAGTTTGTGGTCTACGTGCAACGTTGTTGGTACTGTAGACGAATCACCTTCCCTCCAAGTAAACGTTGAAGTGTGGCTTCCTTCTGCCAAACGTAACTCCGTGACGTTTGACTCGAGAACGCTTATCGATTGCTCAAAGAGGAATCGCTATGCTACAGGGCAAGGTTGTTTAATTAAGATAGCTATACTTTTGGTCATCTTTGTCGATTTATTGGGGACGAAATTCGAAAGTTGGAGCGAGTGTCCTGCTGCTTGTTTCGTTAGGCAAGACACTTTATTCTATTTATTCTATAGCAGGTGTCTTTGAAATAGAAAAGGGATTAACAATAATTAACACTTTATCTCCCTCCTGCGTTAAAACAGCTAACAAGAGAGTCCGCCGAGGGCGTCTGAGAGATTTTATCTGAGTAGATAGCATTGATAATTTTCCTGGTCAGAATTAACAGAAAACAAAGCATGCTCTTGTACATAGGGGATTGTCCTTTGTCATTTCTATGTAACTTGACTTTAAACTGCACTGAACAAAACAGCTGCATGCATGTCTTCGAGCATCGGAGTTAAACATCATGTAGTAGAGATCAAGATCAATAAACATCTAGGTTCTAACCTGAAGAACAATGAGTCTTCGTTGTCAGAGTAGACAGCAAGATGAAAACACAACAGAAGGAAACGGTAGGCATGATAAATCCCTAACTCAAGGAAGTTTGGTAAATTGCCATGTTTCAAAGAAAACGGTATGCAAAACATAAGTGGCAATTTTTACCTCCTTCGTGAATTAGGTTCCACTTACGTAGGTTTCAAATACCGTGGGCAATAATTATCAGTTGACTGACAATGTTTTACATCTCATTGGTAATTTAGACAAAGAGCTGTGTAGTGTCGTGGCTGGTAAGTTAAACAAAGCGAAAATGAATATCGTTGTAAACTGGAAATAATTCATTAAATATTAACAGATGTACCGTTATTCAACATTTTTTTTTTAAATGTGTTATTACGAGTGAATGTTGGTAAGAGTCGAAGAAAATTCAAAAAATGTGTCAACAAGGACAAAAAAATACGGTAGTGTCTGATAATTTGACAAAAGCGACTTCGAAAACAGTTCTCCTGAGTTACGTTTTCGTTTTAGTGGGATCTTGAGAATCTTAATATTTATGAACAACGATGAAACTTGCATAAAATTACAACTTCCGCACCTTTGAAACGTATTCCATTCTTTTATTTTTAATTCCACACAAAGAACACTACTTACACAGCGATACTTACATTACCTCTAGATATATGACAATATGAAATTGCAAGGAATACTGTACTTACATTACGTTACGTTACGTTACGTGCATAACGGCATGACAGTTTTTCGTCTGTAACGAAGCAATTTTGGGGTATTTTTATTTGCAAAGCAAGTTCACGCAGCATTCCTCTTTAAAAATAACAACTTTGTAAGTCATCAGCTCAGAAAATTTAAATTAGGACTTCGTTCCAATCAACCGATTTAAATTGCAGTGAAGTCGCTGGTGCGTGATATAGATGAGGGCTCAAGTGTGACTTACATGAAACTTTTGAAAGCGTTCATGCAAAATGTCTTCTAGATCCCACAAATATGAAGTCATAAAACATAATAAACAATGGATGAACTATGAAAATATCAGAAGATTTGACGCACGAACTTTCATCTTTTNATCAGGCCATCGACTTTGTATCCCATCAGTCAACAATATGACTAGTTTCTGAGTATCGTTCGAGACTTCTAATGAAAAATACTCATCGTAGGCCAGACGAAGTGCGAGGTCAATACGGGTAATCCCCCTGACATACGGGATATTGTCCACCGCAGAAGCAAACGATAGCGTTGTGTTCTTCGAGCCTAGCGGAACTTTGTTAGATGCTCGACTGCTAAATACAATAACAGCAGCTTGGCTGGTTCTCCCTAGTTCGTATCTGCTTGCCACAATCTTAATGAATTCTTTTTCTTTTACGTAGTTGTCTTTTCCAACACTCCCTGATGCGTCGAGTAAAAAGATTAGGTCCAGTGGTGCTTGGCATTTTTCTGGCGCTGAGGAAAAGAAGTGGAAAAGAGCATTTGTTCAGGGTCAAAGGACGAAGAGGAATTCGTCCCTAAACAGTAACCCAGTTAGGCTTTGATCCACACACGATGAGTGCGTCCGCCTGTTGGGCAAAACTACACACGACTGTTTTTACTTTATACCTCACATGATACCTACCTATACATACCGTGCCATTACCAGTGTACCCGGACACACAAGTACAGGTATAGTCTCCATCATAGTTGGTACAATACGCGTCTTTGTGACAAGCTTGGCATTCGTTGATGTCTATTTAAATGTAATTTAGAAGAAAGAAAATTTCACAGGAGTCATTGAAATTTCAATCAAGTACTTAGTATTCTGTGGTCCGTATATGCACTGCAATTGGACCACTTAGCTCATTGGATACATTTAAAATATTAAATATCCACGAGAAGGAGTTTAAAACGGCAAAAATATAGCAGATAGCAGCCAATAAAAAATGTGAACAGCCTCATATTTTGCGCCAAGAATGGTTTCCTACTTCTGATAACTCGTTTACCGTGTATCGTTGAGTAGGATACCAGGCATGTAGTTGTGCAAATTTTGGCAAATAGCTTGTTCACTCGTTAAGTTAAACCAAGAATTAAAATTTCCTCCATTTTTGGTATCTTCAAAGAAAAATCCTTTTCGTCGAGTTATTTTGGTAGCGGTGAAACGATGATAACACATCCCCGCGCGCCATGAAAGTTTATTTTTAATCTATTTTAAGCTTCACGTCGCGCTGTGAAAGTTAACCTCGGCCCCATGATCGCGCAGCCCATGTCCAACGATCATCGCGTCGCGTCCATCTAAATCTGACATTCTAAACCTGACGAAATAAAAAATAATTTGTTTTGAGCTACGGCACTGTTTACATCGCGGAATGTATCTTTGGAAACCATTCTAGAAGCGCTGGGAAGGGAAATTATCTTCTTCGCGTCATTCCCTTGCATAATTGATTAACGCGACTTAATTTAACTTGTTGAGGAAAGTTAGGCGCCAAGGCTCGTATTCTAACCCACTCGAAAGTCGTTTTTCGAAAAGAACTGAACGGATTAAAGCGAAAAACATCTCTTTCGAAAGGTTTTTCAAAGCGCAGGACAGCTAAAATATTTGTTTCCCGCTTGTAAGAATTTATCCGAAACTACCACTGTTTGGATCGAAAAAGGTCTATTTGAGTAGCATGTTCAAAGCGCTGGTTAGCAAAGTTATCTTCTCTGTGCTGATATCCGAAGTTTACTTCGAAAATAAATCTTGATATTTCTCTGCATGACTGATTCACCTGAGGCGCCATGGCTCACTGCTGACAAGAATTGGTTTCTAACACGCTCAAGAGTCGATTCTCGAAAAGTACTGAACGGTTTGAAGCGGAAAAGATATCTTTCTCCTTCTCTTACGAATTGCGCTCCGAAAGTCCAGGTGCAAGTTTTTCATGTCATTTGCATATTTACTTAACAAAACCAAGCCGTAAAGTTTATGATGACATTTAAACTGACCAATCAAGTATCTTTTCTCAAATAGACACGGCCTAAAACTGACCACGCGCTAAAATTACTTTGGAAAAATTATCATTGGAAGATCCCTAATGTGAAAAACAACCCGCACGACTGGCATGCTAGTGTTTGCATAGCAGCCTGATCCTCAGGTTGACGCTCAACTTTATCCATTTATTCGGCATTTTTCTTCCTTGTTTTACTCTTGTAATTTAGATTTTTAGCTATGTAAACTTAATTGAAATGAAATGGATATCAAATTTTTCAAAATGAATTCCAGCACAAACAAATTATCTACAAACAAATTCTCCCAGCGATTTATATTGAGATAACGTACGCATATCAGAAGAAAGTATCTGTGTGTTTCTGGTTTCAAATCCCAGACATAGACCGAAGATTAAAAATATCGACATGCTACAATTACTGGCTGGAAAGTAATGATGCCTTCTCTCTTCCCACAGGCTAAACACGCTGTGCATGCTTCCCTAGATTTAATGGTCAGCGGACAGAACATTGATGGTTGGCATGGTGGGACCAAACATATCTACGCTACGTTTGGCGCGGAAAAGCTGACAGAGTTGTAAATACTTAAAGGAATTATTCATGCAGGACTAAGTTTGTGTTCACAAGGTAGACTGAACTTGGTGTTTGTGTTAATGGTTTTCTCCTTCTATTGTTCGGAAACGAAAGACGGTAGCAATTCTCATTCATATTTAAAAAGAATTTCATTGCCACCAACGCAGCGGAAGTCGCAATTAAGTGTCAGCGTTGAATGGTCTTCGGAAGACTCGTCCGGCACGTCATTTAAAGTATAGTAAGACTGCTTACTCGTTCTGAGGTTTTGCATAGAGAAGTGGCTTTAGAGGAAAACAAACCTTGTCGATAGAGAATTCTTTTTTTTGCGAATTATATATTGATGTGATGAGTAACAATAAAACATGATGAATGTCTTCATTAGCTGGTGACAATTCATTAAATATCAAGAGATGCACCGTCATGAAACCAATTTGGTGAAATGTGTCATTTTAATATGAAGTGCTAAAGGCAGGAAGTTTAAAAATTTCTGTTTGTCAGTTTATCTCATCGGGCGTCAAGACAACTGTGCATACATGGCTTATTTTGTAGCGTTATCCCTTGGGTCCGGACCCTAAAATTTGGTCAGAGTCAGTTCTTTGTCTTCTCTTAACTTACTATCAACCCTTTAATCACTATCAAGTTCGCGTTTAACGTTCCTCTCATATTTCCGTAGAAATTACAATTTTAATTTTGTGCGTATTAACATTTGACAGAAAAAAGTATTCGTAAGATAGGGGGAAAAAGTATTGTAAAAATAAAAAAGCCAGTCTCCGTGAAGGCTTTCACACAAAAAGTGGCGCGTATTTCGCTTCTCTTTATCGATACTGAGCTTGAAACTATTGCTGAAACGTAGGCCAATCAGGTTTTGATTTCTTTGCTGAGCAGCAACCAAGGCTCGACGAAACTTAAGATTAGAATTTCATAATCCCACTACGTTGAAATACGATAAAAGTTCCTGGTACTACGCAAGCTATTTGCAGGATTAATTATAGCCCTTTTAAGCGAACGCCGGACACTAGGAAATCGTTGCAGTTATGGCTTCGTTCTTACGTTATCCCTTGGTCAGACTTTCAAATTTGGTCAGACTCGGTTCGAAGTCTTCTCTCAACTTACAATATCAACTCTGAAATCAGTATCACATTCACATTTAACGTTCCTCAGTCGCCTCCTGAAAGTTTCGCCTCCCACGATCGATATGTGTTCTGATGTTTTCCCCGAATTAATTCCATAAACGCTAGAGCGGATACCCTCATTGGACTAGCATAGCAGGCCCTCGTTCTTTTTCGAAGTAAGCTACTGCGAGTCTTTCGAATTTTTTCCATGCAAAGAAGTGGCATTAGCAAGACGTTGTATTTTAATTGATGCTTTGTAATAATTCCATAGCTTTCGAGCCTGGCGAGAAAGACATCCTATCGAATAATACAATTTCCGCTTAAAAAATTATCATTTCCAGAAGCTTGCAATAGAAGTTTCTATTATTATGTGAAAATCTCTTTTAATGTTTTCTCAAAGCGATTTTACCGTATTTTATTTCCTATCAAGATTCAAAAATGTAAATTTCAGCCTTGGGTATATCCTTACCTTGCTGAATTTAGTTTTCAATTGAAAACGGAACTTCTGTTATACAGATAACTTCAAACTCGATTGATAAAGTCGATAGTCGAAGTTACTTCAGTCAAAGCATCAATTTTTCCACTGTCCCTTCTTTGAATGGCCGGGGGATGCATTTTAGTAGCGACTGGCACTTTTACGCGAGAAGAATTATGACAAAATGAAGACCTAGATTTAGCTCGCGTTAACTCTACTAGGAGAGTTAGTTTGTGGTCTACGTGCAACGTTGTTGGTACTGTAGACGAATCACCTTCCCTCCAAGTAAACGTTGAAGTGTGGCTTCCTTCTGCCAAACGTAACTCCGTGACGTTTGACTCGAGAACGCTTATCGATTGCTCAAAGAGGAATCGCTATGCTACAGGGCAAGGTTGTTTAATTAAGATAGCTATACTTTTGGTCATCTTTGTCGATTTATTGGGGACGAAATTCGAAAGTTGGAGCGAGTGTCCTGCTGCTTGTTTCGTTAGGCAAGACACTTTATTCTATTTATTCTATAGCAGGTGTCTTTGAAATAGAAAAGGGATTAACAATAATTAACACTTTATCTCCCTCCTGCGTTAAAACAGCTAACAAGAGAGTCCGCCGAGGGCGTCTGAGAGATTTTATCTGAGTAGATAGCATTGATAATTTTCCTGGTCAGAATTAACAGAAAACAAAGCATGCTCTTGTACATAGGGGATTGTCCTTTGTCATTTCTATGTAACTTGACTTTAAACTGCACTGAACAAAACAGCTGCATGCATGTCTTCGAGCATCGGAGTTAAACATCATGTAGTAGAGATCAAGATCAATAAACATCTAGGTTCTAACCTGAAGAACAATGAGTCTTCGTTGTCAGAGTAGACAGCAAGATGAAAACACAACAGAAGGAAACGGTAGGCATGATAAATCCCTAACTCAAGGAAGTTTGGTAAATTGCCATGTTTCAAAGAAAACGGTATGCAAAACATAAGTGGCAATTTTTACCTCCTTCGTGAATTAGGTTCCACTTACGTAGGTTTCAAATACCGTGGGCAATAATTATCAGTTGACTGACAATGTTTTACATCTCATTGGTAATTTAGACAAAGAGCTGTGTAGTGTCGTGGCTGGTAAGTTAAACAAAGCGAAAATGAATATCGTTGTAAACTGGAAATAATTCATTAAATATTAACAGATGTACCGTTATTCAACATTTTTTTTTTAAATGTGTTATTACGAGTGAATGTTGGTAAGAGTCGAAGAAAATTCAAAAAATGTGTCAACAAGGACAAAAAAATACGGTAGTGTCTGATAATTTGACAAAAGCGACTTCGAAAACAGTTCTCCTGAGTTACGTTTTCGTTTTAGTGGGATCTTGAGAATCTTAATATTTATGAACAACGATGAAACTTGCATAAAATTACAACTTCCGCACCTTTGAAACGTATTCCATTCTTTTATTTTTAATTCCACACAAAGAACACTACTTACACAACGATACTTACATTACCTCTAGATATATGACAATATGAAATTGCAAGGAATACTGTACTTACATTACGTTACGTTACGTTACGTGCATAACGGCATGACAGTTTTTCGTCTGTAACGAAGCAATTTTGGGGTATTTTTATTTGCAAAGCAAGTTCACGCAGCATTCCTCTTTAAAAATAACAACTTTGTAAGTCATCAGCTCAGAAAATTTAAATTAGGACTTCGTTCCAATCAACCGATTTAAATTGCAGTGAAGTCGCTGGTGCGTGATATAGATGAGGGCTCAAGTGTGACTTACATGAAACTTTTGAAAGCGTTCATGCAAAATGTCTTCTAGATCCCACAAATATGAAGTCATAAAACATAATAAACAATGGATGAACTATGAAAATATCAGAAGATTTGACGCACGAACTTTCATCTTTTTGACCTGCTAGATTGGGCTTATGTTAGACTTTTTACTCAAAGCGGAAATTGTATATCTATTTATTCCAGCCTCAATTTGTTCATGATGAACTTCACATTAAAATAATAACATATTTTGAATGAGGAAGGACCAATGAATGCAAATTAACATCACAGCAACTTAAATGTAGTAGCGATATGAAATTAAGCGTAAAATTTCGCGTTCTCGCAAAGCGAAATCTAAGTTTCCGGTACTATAAGAGTGCAGTAGTTTTTCAAGGATCTCAGCCTTTATATTGAATATTTCCAAAATCCTGACCTATTATCCTTTAGTTAGTCTCCTTGGTCTACAACCTCACGAAGTTTAGGCAAAATGAATGTTTTGACCGTGGCCACGATTTATAGCTATTTACTGACATTTACACCTAAAACAAATCATAGTTAATAGAGGGAAATGGTTAGGAGGGCCTGGAAACGTTTATGTTGGAAGGACCTTGATCCAGCACATCTTTTGTTTTGTACTCATTGAAGCTTATTGACTCTGCATGAATTGCATAATCGCAATACTTCTATCGGTTAGTTGTATGAGCATGCGTAACCACCTTTTGTATTTTGTTAGGTTTCGTGCAGGGTCAACCCCCAAAATAGGAAACAAAAACATACAACAAAGAACTTTGCCAAGTTTCCTATCCATATCCCTGAATTAAGTATGTACAAATGTATGAAGTGCTAGACGTGATGTTCATAGATTTCAGCTCGTCAATTATCCGTCTGGAAAGGAGGATATATGTATCGCCATGGCGTATTTTGCCGTCATCTCTTGGCCAGACCTTGAAATTTGGTCATAGTCGTTTCTCGATCTTCTCTCGACTTCTAATCAACCCTGAAATCACTGTCACATTCACTTTTACAGTCAACGTTCCTCTCAGAGTTCCGTAGCCTGCTAAACGCTCGGGCAGATACCCCAGGTCCAGGCCATCACGCTTTTGCAAAGTGAATTATTGCAAATGATATCGGATTTTTGAACTCTTCTAAATTCCAAATTGGACAAGTTGCATTTTGTGGAACGTTGTGTAATTTGGCTCTTTTTGTTTGTTGTTTGTTTGTTTGTTTTTTCGCTTGTCATAGGTCTACAGCTTTCGAGTCTGTTTGGTGAGTAAGACATGGTACCGATAGTTGGTATGGTGTGATCGTCTGGGTGAGGGTAGTTCCGCAGCTGTACGACGTCATCATTTACTCTTGTTTAGATTTAGATAAAAGTCAAAGATCAATTAGGATGATTGAGTAGTGCTGCCGCTGCAGTATCGTTCAAAATGATTCACAGTTGCAATGCACGACATTTAGATGAGATAACTTCACTTTCGCTACGTTTACCAGAACCATGCCTCACATCAATGTCCTGTTTAATTGGAGCCAAAGTGACCCGCCAGCCAACAAGCGTTGCTCGCTGACTGCAACCAAACCCTCTTAATAGATTTAACACGAAATAAATTTAAGACATCCATTTTTGCATAATTTCTCTCACGGCTTAGAAGTACATCCCGGCCGTTCAAAGAAACAATGTTATGCTTTGAAGCAACCTCCGACTATCAACGATATCAATCGAGGTAATCTGAAGGGAAAAAATCCGTTTTCCTTTGAAAATAAGTTATACCCAAGACTGGAATTTACTGAAAAACACGTTTTTACGCGTTGATCGAAAAAAAAAATCACTTTATTATACCTTTGAAAAACTTTGTATAAGAATGTCATATAAAAATAGAGCTTCTGAAAATATTAATTTTTGACACGGAAAATTGTATGGTTCGGTACCATGTAACAGTAAATGGCTAGAACCCAGGAGTATCAGTAATTCGTATAGTGTGATCGTCCGGGTGAGGGTAATACTGAAAAGAACTGTTGTTGGTGACTGACGCGAAAGTCATCTTCAGAGTCAAGTGAATAGTGTTTGTCAGTCGATAATGTTGTAAGTGTGGTCTGTTGAACGTGATTGGTCAATTTAGCCATGATGGTATTGGCTGAAAGACTCGTGTTAAGTTTGTCATCAGCTTTTGGTCGATTTCGATCCGTCTATTGTTAGTCAAATTGGTCGGTTTTTGATCCGTCTATTGCTAGTCAAATTAAGTCGGTCTGTTAGAAGTCCGTTTGTCGGTTTCGTTTCCCTCGTGGATAAGTCGTTTGTAAGGCGCCGGTAGTTGTTGACCTCTGTTAAGAGGCGTTTGTTGAAATCTCGAGGTCACTTCTCGAAGTTACTTCGAACTGAGATGAACCTATATCGTTTGCATCTTTATTGTGCCATTGACCAATCATTGCCAGTAAATTGTACTATGTATTTCTTTAAACTGGGATATTGCTGCATCGGCCTATAGCGCGTCTTAAAGGCGTTTCCATACACGTTTTGAATATGTACTGCACCATCTTCAAGGAAATGATTGGCGCTGGCCGGATATCTAACCTTGCTCGGTAGGTAGACTTCACAATATGAAATAGGGGAAATGGGGGAATATGTCATTTAGGTATTTAAAAGGGCCTTTAATTAACATATTTCGAAAAGACAAAGACAAGGTAATGCTCGATGTTCTCCAGTAGCGAAGAAAATGACAGAAATAAATAATTCCGTGACAAAAATAACAGGAACGCGAAGATATTTATTATGCGAATAAAATCCTGGATAACGTATTTTTAAACTCAAGTGGTTTAGTTACGGTAAATATTTTAAAAACCAGACACTACTGGCTGGCAATGAAGACGACTTCCTGAAAATCGCAGAAATTTATTACCAGGAAAAAAATCTCATAATTGTTTATGTCTATGTCTAACATTACTTTTGTGCTCTAATATTTATAAAGTAATAATATAATAAAAAAGAGGCACTATGATTAAAAATTTCAATATATACAACGAGAGCGTTTGCCTCTCATCGTTTCTACAACCTCAATGCTGTGTGAGTTACCACACTATTGTTTAGTTACACATACTCGAATTCTAAGAAGCGTATTTATATGTTTAGCACCTTCCTATCGTTTAAGAGAAAAGAAAAGGTGTTTCGTGTTTCTACAAAGTTACAGAAGCACGAGTCCAAGTTTGGGTGGGAGAACAAGAAATGCTGTGGGAACACGAGCCGACAGCAGGGTACGTTTTCAATTACATTATTCGCTCTCGATTTCTATCACAGGATAGGTGACGAGGGCGCAACCCGAGTCAACTACCTCGCATAGAAATCGAGAGCGAATAATCTACATGTAATTGTTTATTTTAAAACTTTATCACTGAACGTTCAAAACTTTATCTAAATACTCTTCACAGACACTTCGAAAACGCAAAGAAGCGGCCGCCAGTTAGTTAACAAACGCTTACCGCTACGCTACTCACTATCTGCAACTGAAAAGTGAGTAGTGTAGCCAATCAGAGAACGCCATTCGTAATAAAACGCAAGTTTGATACTAAAACTCGATAGAAACACAGAACTAGCACGAGCTGTTCATGCATGTAACGATGGCGCTAGCAAAGTAAATTTAAGTTTTAATGATCAAAGTAAACATTTTTTTTTTCGTTGCAGTATTCTCTAAAAGAAATGGAAAACATGTTCCCTGCGTTTATATTAAGTTTTAGTGTAAATCTACTAGATAATAAGTTCAGTCGGGCACTCAAATAGCTTTAATGGCGGTTTGTTTGAAGGCCCACAAAAGGATTGGTAAGATGATAAAGGAGGTCGAGGAACTCAGAGTCCTCTTTTAGATGATCAGTCTCCATGTTTTGTGTTCTGCGAGTAAGAACGAGCAATCTCTTCTCCACTTTTTCCATTCTCTGTTCGGTACAGTGGATGATACTTTCAGAATTCAAACAAAATGGTTCTGCATTAGAACTGCACATGTTTGTAAAAGTTGTGTCGTCGCAGAATAGCTTGAATTCAGGTTTCCTTTTGCCCTCTCGGAACATGTCCATAAATCGCTCACCAATGAATCGGGCCATTTCAAACTGCTCTGCACTTTCCTCAACATGCGTCTTGGCGGCTGTATACGACTCATTTAGGACTGAAACTAACATATTCATGAGGAAAATAGTCATGGACAACATGAACAATAGAGCAAACGTTGGACCAATAAAGGGCTTGTCATTACGGAGGTCATCCAGCGGGACAGCTTTTCCTAAAAGAAATCCAAATTGCGAGATGACTGCCTGCAGATAGCTTGAGTAGTTAGGGACCGTGCCACCAAAAAGTGTCATCCCTGATATGACAAAAGCGTTGAAGACGATGAGAAAGACACCCACGTAAGACAATTGGTAGCCTACAGACTGGCGGAAAGATGAAAACAGGAAAATCACATAAGGGTTGAAGCGGATGAGATTCAAAAGCTTCAGTGTCACCATAAAAATGGCAACGGCGACCGCGGCATCTTCCCAGCTGGCCCAGTCTAAGGCTGAGTGAAAATGTATAATTTCATATGGATTAGCTTGGATTGCTTTAAGGCTCTTCAAGACACTCTTTGATCTCGTTATGTAGAACGCCACTGACGCTACAGAAGATAAAATCATTAAGAAGTTCACCATATTCCAAACAGACTTGAAAAATCCAAGGCGATGGTGGTAAAGGTGAATCAACATCATGATGAAGTAAAAAAGAACCATGGCCATGAAAACAAACTGACAAATGAGATAGAACATCAGAGCTCCTGACTCTGTGCTGTATAACTCGAGTGTATCAACCCTCTTTGCAGTGTAGGCAGCGCCAGTGGCGATCTTCTCGTAGAAGTAAGTAGCAACGCTGAACAAATTTGTATTAACATTGAACACCGCGAACTCCAGAATAACCGCTCGAGTCTGCCGATCAACCCAGCCACGTCCAAGTGTCTCGTTTAAGACGCCGAGGGCAGTGTCTTCATCATATCCCAAGATCGCAACATAGCCACCTCCTTCATATGAATTGTACGAGGCTTTTATTGGATCATTGTTTAGTTCTTCAGCTGTGTGGTAACGCCAAGGCTTCGGGCACATTTGCAGAGACTTTGGCCATGTTGTATTGTAGGGGAGAGATTTCCATCCCGGAAGATTCAGCGTTGTGGTGTCCTCGCCCTCGGGCGTATAATCGTAAAAGCAGTCTGAGATGATGTGAGAGAGCGATCTACAGGAACCTTGAACATTGAAAGGGGATAAACGTTACCGATTGGATAGATAGAAATGTTATCAAAGATAGGAAGTCTAACACTTCTACTAAAGCAATTTACGATTCTCTGGATCAGTCTCTTTACTACGCTTCTTGGAAAACTTCAACTAAATGTGACACTTTCAAGAATTTAGTTAAATCCCACTTTTTATCACTGATGTAATTACTCATTTAATCTAATTTAGTGTATTACTTAATTATACGACAGCTTTCCTTTGGAGAAATAAACATTCAGAAAAGCAAACCTTTGTTTGAGAGTTAGGTTAGCTGTTGCTCCCGAAATTTTGAAAACCTCAAACGTTTGTGGCTGGTTATGCACATTTGCATTTAATCTTTGTTGGTCATATGGAGACGACAAGGGCATTGTATGACAAAATGTCCTTCCTCTTTTCTCAGTTATGTAAGGCAAGAGTGATCAACAAACCGCTGTGCTCTCTTTTAAACCATAGGAAATTCGCTTTTATCTTTTCAACGCCCAAGTAAATAAGAGTTATATCCTTAGTCGCATTATAGCAACGATAACCACGGTGTAATTTCATTATTAATAGTTTATTCTTATAAAAAAATACTTATGGCTTACTGTTTTTGACTCTCAGCTGTCGCATCCAAGGCATGCCGATCAATATTGACATTTTGTTCGTGATATACATGTCATTTTTCTCTGTAAGACCATTGTACCAAGCTTGATTATAAACATTTGGAAGGAACTCTTGCCTTAGCCATCCCAACAGTGTGTGCGAGTCTTTCACCTAAAACGTAAACAAGAGTTTGGCTCAATAATAGTCGGAAATAACAAAGTGAACGTACACCACTCAGTTACTGGAACAATTTTCAGAAATTGCATTTGGAGTCCAATTTTTTTCGTGGACTTAAGAGCCACTGCCGCTAAATATGGAGAATCCGACGACAGGTCGGAAAGCTCGAATGTTCTTTTATTGCGTCAAAAAGACCCTTTGGGTGAATTAGTCTTTAAAGTCTTTAAACGGTCTTGTTCCGCAATATCTCACGTCTAAATTTATAAAGAGAAATGAATCAAGCTATTCTCTGAGGGACTCGGTAAACAAACTTGTTGTCCCCTTTCCAAGAACTAACTACATGAAAAATAGTTTTAGTTACAGCGACGCTACCCTTTGGAACAGCTTACCCTGTAACATTAGAGAGTCTGGTTCATTAAACAAATTTAAACGCCTTCTCTACCATAATTTTTAAACACGGCATTCATGGAAACCAGGATTTTTCTTAAGTGGCATATTAATGTAAGCTAATACAATGTTAGGATTTGGACTTTTAGTCATTATTATGTAATTTTTTCTACCTGATGTTTTTACCGTGTATAAATAATGATTAAAGATTAAAGATTAAAGAAAGATTATTTTCAGAAATATACATTAAATGTTCCAGCGAGTTCACATTTTTGTGAAATCTAGGGAAGTTCGAAATAGCACTCAATCAACCAACATGGCGGATGGAATTTATGCAAAATTGGACATTTTCAACAGGCCAGTACAGAAAGAACGGAACTAGCCTTAACTTCATATTCACACAGTTTGTAATTCACGCTTTGATCATTTCTCTGCTAAATCGGAGTTTTCGCCCGGTCGCCTAAAAATGGCACAATTGGTCAAAACGCCCTATGTAGTTTTCGTCAAGCGCGCTTAATTTTTACGAGTCAAACTAACCATTTACAGGAGGTACACCCATAGCACAGGCTTTTCTTTAGAACCTCTTATTTGTTGAGATATTGATACACTAGAAGAGTTATGACCCACCCACTAAAATTAAAATTAGTTGAAAATTGGCATGTAAATTCAATTGCGATATTTGTATTTTTCAAGCGGCCAAGAAGTAGACAAAACTTTCCTTCAAAATGATTTTTAACTTAGATTATCCTATTTGTTTATATACGATTGAGCATTATATTTGGCTTAATACCGTTTCACACGTTGTCAAAATGACGAGTTTTCTTTAAAATCATTACTTATAGGCTCTGAACGTTAAGTCTTACCAGATCAAACTTCGTGAAAGGATTTCTCATTGTAGTTGTCATTAAATAACGGCTTTCATTCTTGTTGCCATAGCAAACTATAGCCAAGAGAAACATAAATATTAGATGAATAACAATTTCCTTCACTATGTCTGTCATCTGCGCCTCTTTTTTGCTTCGGATTCGCATCTTTTCCAATAGGCTTTGCTTAAAGCGCTGTTTAGGATCATCACTAAGAAAATCGATGTCATTGTGATATGTATCACGTTCTTCACTCTCTTCTTCAGAATCTCTGCTTTTGTTTTTATTGTTTTTGCTGAAGAGCAAGGAAATTACGATGACTGCCAGCATAACCTTTGTTGGTTGTACAACGAAAATATCTTGCCCATTCGAAATCAAAATAGAGGCAAGCCACTGCTCGGCAACCTCTTTGCCCCACATTAGACTATAAAATAAAGTGAATGTTGCTGCAGTAAGAGTTGTAACAAAGCATAGAAACCAACCAATGTATACACAGAAATGAGGCAACATGCAGCCTGTGTCACTTATTTCATCCACGAGTCGTTGAGCGTGGTCAATGTCTTTATATTTGTCTCCCTTTTTACTTTCTGGTTTACTAGACTTAAACAGGAAGACAATTAGAATGTTAACAGGTGCGACTATCAGTCCACTTTGAACTCCCACGACAATCTGGTTCCAAGAAAACTTGAATGGCCCAATCTGTATAGCTCCATCTGAATCTCCACCAGTGTTATAGAACATGGCATTGGCAATCATGGCACTGAAGAGAACTGAAAGACAACACGAGGCTCTTTGTACTCGTGTGAAAGAACTACTGCAGGCTTTTCCAACAACTGAAACCCATAGATGACCGTCCGCAATCTTCCTTCCAAAGCGCGAACGTACCTGAGCTGAAAAGGAAGCAGTGCGTTTGTTGTCCACGGTGACTTCTATTTGTCCATCGTCTTTTTCCAACGCAAGCCATCGATTTATCGGGAACAGCCACTGTTCTTCAGTCTGCCTGTCTTTTATTACTATTGTCTCTACAAACCAAGATGGGTTATCTCCTGAATTGTCGTGTTCCAAAGTTATTTCCTTTAAAGAACCCAACGATTCATTTGTGATTAGGACAAACCCATTGACACTTCCTCGTGCACATATTTCACTTGATTCATCTTTACTTCGAAGTGGAATTAGCTTTAGTTCATTCACTTCTCCTTTGATGTTCAGAGTTACGTTGGCTGTTGTTCCGGAACGTTTCCAAACTCCAGTACTAATAACCATGTCGTAAAAATAGTTCCCTTCTTCAACGACAGTTACGTTCTTAGGAGGACAAATCTATAAAAAAAAATATATCGAAATCATTTTACACAGTAATCGGGGACTTCTATGGATGTATTTAAGTATATTTTGCGACCGAATATTGGATGGTCTAATCTAGAAGTTACTATATAAGTTAGTTATATTGTTAGCAAAGCGGCCCATGTTAATAATGTGTTCATGCAGTACATTTAAAGATGAGACCACTGGCGTACCTTATTTTCGTCTCTCTTGTCAGCTCTTCTTGCAAAGATTAACACAATGAAGTAGAGAAGAAAAGCGCTTGCAATTGTGACAATTACTGAAATGTTGCCAGTTTCACCAAGCCGCGTAAATTCAGTGAAAACTTTGTCGAAATCAATAGGATTAGGAGCTTGAATGAAGTTTCCACCAAAGGAAGTTAAATGATTGCAAAGGCACTTAAGATGGGTGGTGTTTGAACTAGCGTCAACCTAGAAGAAAAGCATTCTTTGTTGAGAGATGCGGTGTAAGATTGATAAAATGTTTCAATCCACTACCCTGGATATAAACATATGTCCTACACACCGACCCACTGAAAAGCTAAGTTCAAAGTGTTATAATGTTACAAAATACTGTTGAGAATAATAAGACAACAAGGCATATGTTGACGACAAAAAACTAGTAGACTTTTTAACACCACTCTTCCCCCTCTTTACAAATTGGCACAGTCGCTAAGTATCTAAAATATGACACAGGCTTGTAAAAGACACTAAGATATGAAACTGAATATAAATTACCCTGCAGCCATCAGAGGCCCACTTCTCTTTATCTTCAGACCAGTACAAACAACTTGATTGGGTGATACTGAAAGTATAGTTGACATCTGTCGAAGAATCATACTGGGGAATAACGGTTTTAGTAACTCCTTTTGGTGGCGGGTCTTTGACGCCAACACATGACCGCCTTTCACGTCCATGACCAAAACACGACCTCCGTCTTCTGGAATGTTCGTTGACATCTTTAACTCCTAGAAACAGCAGACCGATGTAAAGACGAATTGGCACAGAAGGCACCACTGTTAAAGAATTCTCTTCAAGAACACAGGATGTTCTGTTTTGTGTTTCACTTGTTTGGTTTCTACATGTTGACGTAACGGTGAAGTTATGGTCGAAGTCCTCAATCGTGGGTCTTTTTCCAAATTTGACAAATAATTCAATAACAATGCCTTCTTCCTGTACTCCGATTTTAATAGAAACGGGTACATCTGCCAGTTCTGCGTAATAACTACGGAAGGACATTTTGCTTGGCTTTAAGAAATAATGTTCCGTCCCGTTGCTGTTGTTTGTCGGTCGACTCGAAATCGGAATAACTATCTCAATATCACTATCTAGGTTTGATACATTAAACTTTTTCCCATTGCCACTTTGAAGATTGAGACTAGTTACAGTTGATTTGATCTTCTTGCTGCTGCTGTCCCAGGTAAAAGGATTGAACATAACAGCCTGCATCTGAAAAAAAAAAAAAAAAAAAAACGCCGCAACGCTAGTATTGAAGATCATTTTAGTTGTTTGTTTGTTTGTTTGTTTGTTAAAACAAACCGACAGTATATAGAGTGTTTTTCTAGGATCCCTGTCCATGAACCCGCGTCTGTTACTTAGTCAGAGTAATGTAAATAACCGTCGATCCAGACTGTTAAAGGCGAGTGTGTATACCAAGAAATTACAAGAGCTCATTTCAGTATCACTTCGATGACTATCTGCGCTGGGCATTTCAAGCCTTAACCTTTTGTTGAAGCAAAGTCAGTGCAATGTTGATCTGACAAAGGGCTTACATGTACAATCGAGACATCGGCTTTCCCCTTCCCACTTGCTTCAAAAATTGTTAACTTTATCAACTTCAAGTTGAAAAAAATAAAGCAAATTAAAAATAAGTGGGCTTTGTTCTTTCAGTGCGTGGTCAAAGCAAAAAAAAATGATTTCTTCGTTTGAGATTTGGTTGGGAAAAGGCATTTTCGGATGGGCTTCTTTGTTGGAGGGGATATTTTCTGCAGGTTTTTCTAATCGGAATTTTAAGACAACGCATTTTTCGTTGAAACGCCAAAGAGGTTAGTGTTATGGCAAATATAAAGCGGTATGAATCTAACGGCGAGATGTCGAAAGCCAACGATATCCTCCTTACCTTTGCATTAATGACACCACCACCTATATTTCCAATGTTACTGGGTAGCTTAAATTTTGCAGGTCCTTCTTCTATACCCAGTCCCTTTACATCGTCAGCAGAGACCTTCTTTAGGGCAACCACCAAGTTCGCTGTTTTAATGGCTAAATCTTCAGACGGGACAAGGCGACCAAAAAACGCATCGCTCATGTTGCTCAGTTTTTCAGATGCCGTTTTTACGAACTGCAGAGAGAGGAATAATGTTCTTTACCAACTATTCTTCAAGTCAATGATTAATGCTTATAATGGAACTTACTTCGTCCGTACAATTTTGTATTTTGATTCGAAGTGTTGAAACAATAAATTAATTTCTATAGCATAAAGAGGCTAGTAGTGAGCAAGATAGCTGTGTCAGTGTAGCTCTTTTACAACTAACTTAATTCAGCTTACGTTTGGGGATGGTGGGCTGGAGTCTGAGTTTCCTGCGCCTGCTGCCGACTGAAGAACATTGGTTAGACATCCTGTAACACTCTGAGCGGTAAGCTCCATGACAGGAGAAAATGGTTCCTCTAAATCGTTAAGCGTATCAACTAGCATATTTGTTGTCTTATCTGTCATTTCCATCGTCGATTCCTAGAAAGGCAGAAGTACGTTCTCTCTCTTATACACGTTATCACCCTGTGGGGGTTTACAACACTATATCCCTGCCAATATTGGTCAAATTCTTCTATTGAGACAACTCTGAGTGAGAATTCCGTTATCATATCGTGTGAAACATTCCCAAGCCTCCGCATGCGACCTGATAAATTACCAAACCGCGCCTTCTTCCGCATTTACCGTATTTAAGAATGGAAGGAAGAGATGGGAAAATTAAAATTGCTTGGTTGACAAGAAGAGGACACAACCAAAATCTATGTTTTTTCTTTCTTGTGGTCGCATAATTCACTTCTTGTCCTAATAATTACCTTTTTTGTTCTCCATGTGGGATAGAATTTAGTGAAATAATCATCAGTATCAATTATCAATGATACTACTCATTAAATTATCTAAAACACGCTAGTTACCAAAACGGTGCTGTGTTATCCTTTAGTAATGGCGAAAGATTGTTCTATTTAGACCGGGCTTTTCTTAATCTTCTTGGACTAAGGGGTAGGAGGGGAGCTTTTAAGGACCTCACTCCATAACGTTTAGAATATTAAAGCTATGACAATAGAGCCGAGATAATTTATAGCACGTCCGTTTATCCAAAAGAAAACTGAAAATCCACAAAAAAAGCCACTAAAACAAAATAAATTGAAATAAAAAAATCGATCAGATAAATTTAAAAGAGAAAAAGAAAATAATACTAATATTAGGAAATTAAAACACAGCTAACATTTTTTCACCTTAAAAGTTATAACGTATCACAAAAGCGTTGTTTTTTCTTTAATTTCAAACAGGAATTTTCGAAATTTCAAAAACATGTCTACTGAAAAAAACACCACCAACAACAAGAACTGCCGGCCTTTGGTCAAGTTTATTGACCAATAACATGTCGTAGCAAATGGTTTCGAGATACAATGTAGGAAAGCACATCCAAATTGGACTTCATTGCTTCAAAATTGATGGGAAATTCAAAAGACCTCAACCCCCTCTCAGATCTGAAGATGATCAGCAAACAACGGCGAAAACCTGTGCACTCATGTAAATCAGTAACTAGGAGGTTATAGATAACTACACAAATAGACAGAGATAACATGTGACCCGCTTTTTGCTTACTAGACTAGCACTACCACCGCCTACGCCACCGCCACCGCTTCCTTGTTGTTCGCCGCCAATCGCCGCGCTAACCACTGACATAATCATGCGAGACATGTCAAGACTCTCTGGCGTTATTACTGTAAACTTCAGAACCAATGTTTCAGAAATCTGACAAGACAAAATAATATCAATTAAGACAATGGGTCACACTCAAATCCTGTATGAGGTTAAAGGAAGATTAAGTGCCGTGCTTAATTAATCATATGACTCAGAATCTTGATCGCTAACCACTGATATAAATCAAGAAAGCTTGAATGTGACGACATTACTGGTAGGTACTCCTGAAAATGTTTAGGTTAAGAAAGATATTAAACTAAAACAAAACTAAGGATTTTTTCCAAAAGGTGTGAAAAAGGAATATGAATGTCTTAAAGATAACGAGCTGATTGAGAAAGGTGACTGACACAAGTGCTTCTCAACATGAAGAACTTCGATCCTGTGGTCTGTGAGTTAAATGAGTTACGAGTTAAATACTTTAGCTTGAACCTTCGAATCTATGTATTATCGATTAAACCGATACTATACTAATTAGTGAAAGGATTTTGACTGTTTAATAATTTTTTTTTTCCAGTTAAACGTACCAAGTTTTTTATTTCCCGTTCCAATGTCCTTCCGCAATCATTTTTCTCGTTGGCAGACTTGAGTACGGACAAAGAAAGCTGGGCCGCCTGGGCGAGTTCGCCTTTGTTCAAAAATCCGTCCAGCTTATTGCCATCCCCGAGTACATAGCTTTTTAACTTCGTGGCAACCTCATCTGGCGACGAAAGGCAAGGATCGAGATTGGAAGGTGGTTTCACCTGGAGAGGTTCAGTAAAATAATTTCTAAGGTTTTGGTTATCGTCATTACCATTGCTCAATTCTGTTGTAGTAGCTAGTTCTAATTAAATACCAAGATTGTAAAACGGTCTTGCTCTGTGCTTCTTCCCATTGTTAGTTTTTAAGAACAAACGATTTTAAGTTGTTTTAGAAAAATAGCTAGAACGACAACATTCTCGATACCTTAACAACCAGATTTATCGCAACCGCAACACCCACAGCATTCTTGATAATGACGTTAATTTGCAACTGGAAATCGTCTTCTTGATCTCCGGCCGGTAACCCTGTCGACACAGACTTGGGAGAGCTTCCATAGGATATTGGCTCATCTCCAAGTTGAAATTCATAGGTAAGAGCAGTTGTATCTTGCCAATCAAAGCATTTAAATGTAAACTCTGTCACAAGTGACACACCTTCATGGACTGATGGTGTGCAGTACCCACTGTGCGGTGCTCCAGCTGTCTCGAAATCGAGCAGGGCAAAACCTTCTGCTCCTTGTGAGGAAGTCACGTACAGCTTTAAACTGTACTTGGATTTGGATTGCAATGAGTTCTTCTTAATAATCATATTGGTTGCATTCACTGCAGTTGAAGTCATATTAGGTAGAATAGGTATATCTTCCCACTTGCCGGAATCGTCATTCCATCTTTTTAATTGCCATTCATAAACTGAACCATTGCAAGGGGAATTAGGGCATTCTGATGTCACTCGGATCTTGTTAGTAGCGGATACTATCGTGCCACAATCAACAAAGCATCTTAAATAGAATGAAAGAAAAAATGAAAAAAATGTAAAAAGGATTCACATAAGGATTTGAGTGCAGAGTACCTGTTGAATCGAAGTACTCGTTAACAACAGTACGCAACATTGTGGTCTATGTGAAGAACGGAATAATTAAACATGTGCTTGTAGTTAATATTTTTTTCTAAAATTATCGCTCTATCAAAGTAATTATGAGAGTCATGATCCATTAAATTTTGAGGACTTCTTTACACGAGCAAAGATTGCTTTTTAGTCTACGTTGAATCATTGCAGAAAGTGCTAAAAATAAGCACTTTACAAAACCCGGATTGTCAGTTTGCAATAGCTTGTGGTTACCTTCAAGCCTGACCCGGGACAGCCTTTCTATGTACCGACCAAAAAACTGAAAAGCATAGGCTAGGAATATGAACAAAAAAACCTACAAAGTCCAGTATTACGGACAGTGGTGGGAGGTCATGATGTTCCGAAAAACATGGTTATATGAGTGAAATTACCATCCCGGATTAGCTTTTGGACTAGTGTTTACAGGAAAGGCTTAAAGAGATTTCAACCCGGGTCAACCCGAATATTGACTAGGGTTACCTGGCAAGGAGCTTTGACCCGGCTTGACAACTGTTTTTATGTAAACGCCCTCAAACATTTGACTGTGAAGGAGTTATCCTTGGCGGTGATTCAACCTGAATCAAAAGTAATTTGTAATTTTTTTTTTTTTTTTTTTTTTTTTGATTGTAAGTTAATTGTAGATATTTTATTCTTCTGTAAATAACTTTAATGTAAGTAACGTATGTCACTGGTAAATAAAAAAATTTAAAAAAATTAAAAAAATTAAAAAAAAAGTAATCTGGGCTGTTGTAAAGAGGCCCAAAATTTAACCGAAAAAATGCGAACCAGTTTTTGGAAACAACTTTCAGCTCATAGCTCTCAACTAAGAGTACTAGTGTTAGCGCGTAATGTTTACCTTAGAGCCACCTGTGGTATCTCTCCAGCAGTTATCTCAAAGGACATTTCAGCAAAGGAGCTTCTAACATCTTTGGAAACGGTAAGCCTGAGAACATAGCTTTTATTAGCGTCTAATTTATCAGGGTCGATAGTAATGATACCGGACATGGTATTAACGTCTCCAACAAAAGCCCCAAAGCAATCATTAGTCATAGTAGCATTGTCATCCACATCAAGACAGGACCAAGCAAAATTGAGCCCTGTGTGATTTCCAGGACCAATATCTCCATCGTAACTCAATGAACCATCCACAGTTACATTTTCCTTGGATCCCCAGCGAACACTGCTTCCTCCGTCAATAATGGCTCGTACCGGCGCTGGAATGACTTCAATAAAGCCAAAGTCAAAGGCGGTGAGCATCTGTGGGAACGCTGGATCACCGATGGTGTAAGAAGCATTGAATTTGACTTGATAGATACCAGCAGGTAAGGATCTCCTGGTTATTGTCCACTCAGTCGTTCCTTTACTTACTATAGTTCCCTCTGCTGACTCTGAGGCAGCGAGTTCTGCTTCACTAATGATACGCCATTCCAAGTTGCTTGACAACACAGCGACATCACTATGTAGACCTTGGATTATCGCTTCTTGAACACTTTTTGCAGAACGCATGACAACAGTGGCATGGTACTTGTCCTTCGAAATGTTTCGTATGGTCACTGAGAAGTCCCCTGTCCAATTAAAATTTCACGAAAGACGTTAAGGTAGTTAAGGCTTGCTTGATAAAGGGCTTATAGCTTGGGTGACTATAGGTAAAAACAGGAACCCGTCTGAAAGTATAGCTAGACAAGTCAGATACTTGCAGATATGATTGTGCTTTTTATCTGCGCGAGAACAGTTGCTATAGGAATTGAGTTTCCAATGCGTTTATAGCGTTTAGGACATTATATTCCACTCACCCAAGGGATCACAATTTAAGATTCCATCACCACTGTAACTATCCCGACATTGGCAGGTGAAGGAACCGTCGTTGTTGTAACAGTTAGCTGCTCCATGGCAGTTGTGAGTTGCTTTTTTACATTCATTAATATCTGTGGAGGAACATTGATATAAATACAATTTCACATTGGTATTGGAATAAACGATACCTTGAAGGACGTTAACAGTATTAGTGTAATTATCGTGGGTGGTGCTAAGAATCTTGGACAAGTACACCTTCTACTGTAATTTGCATGCACCGACAAGACTGAACTTCTATGGCGCCAATTGAAGGGAAATGTCGTATATATTTAATGGTGTTGGTGGCTTTCAGTTTTGCAATAAGTTAACTCTTTTTTCCTCTAAGGGCTTCGGCATCAGATGATCTTCTATGATACCATGACTCTATTGCATACACTAGCACTGAAATCTGCCATTTGGGTGTTCATACATCGATGAAACCCGGATTTTTATAGAGCAAAGGTTAATTAACAATACATATACCATAGCAATCCACGCCATCTCCCGAATATCCTTGAAGACAAGTACAATTAAATGAACCAACAGTGTTGTTACACTGAGCGTTCAAGTGACAGTTATGCGTCTGATCTTGACATTCGTCCAAGTCTGCAACGAAATGACGCTTGTTAGCGAAATATTTTAATGAGATAATTTTGCAATGGTTCTGATCTTTCTCTCCAAGTCTTGTTCTGCGCAATAATTAGTGCAAACGCATTACAAAGACTTTGTTACTCATTGTTCAGGCATGACTTTTTCATTCAAGAACGAAGGAGAAAATGATGCATGTGCATCCTGGCTTTAAAAACGTACCTTTGAAAGAAGACACTGAGGGAGCTGATTTAGCAAGGTTCTACGGGGGCCGAGTACACATTATTAGAAGCAAATATTTCAAATTGAAGACAATACGATTAAAGCTCTCAACTAACAACAGGCGAGCCAGATGATATATTTGAGTTTGAATCTGTCGTTTGGGTGTTCATACATCAACAAAACCCGTATTCAAAAGACCATTGGATGATTAACAGTACCATAGCAATCGACGCCATCTCCTGAATATCCTTGAAGACAAGTACAAGTAAATGAACCAACAATGTTGTTACACTGAGCGTTAACATCACAGTTGTGCGTCTGATCTTGACATTCGTCTGCGTCTGCAGAATAATGGCAATTATTGGAATAATATATAGATTTAGGCCCGCTTAAAAGCGTAGCTCCTGGGCCGGGTTGTTCAAAGCCCGATTAAGCTAACCCAGAAAAAGGTAGAATTTTGATTTGAGTTTTGTAACTTTGCGGTGA